GGTGGGCTGGGTGGTTCTGGGGTGGAGTCCGTCCCTGGAAAGCTTTTTATTGAATTCTCTCAGTACCTATGGCTGCAGGGCTGAGAGATGTTAGAGGCAGGGCCTGTCTGATCATGTGAATTCCCTGGGCAGTGTAAACCGATTCCAAGCCCCACCCCAGGTTACTTTAAACAGTCCCTCAGGGTGAGTCATCCCTGGGCAGGGGGATTTGGGAAACACTAGGATCCAAGTTCCCAGACTTGGCGTCACATCAGAATCACCTGGGGAGCTGGTCTTACTGCAGCAGTGAAATCAGAAGGTCCGGCAGCCAGCAATCAGTGTGTGTGTTTTTAAAGATTCCCAAATGGTTGTGTGTGTAGTTTGGGGACCGCTGCCTTAGGTGTGTGTTTGTTTTCTAATCTCCACCCAAGGGTATTTTTTCCATTGCTTTTCAGAGAGAGTCGGGGTGCGGAGGGGAGAGAAACATCCATGTGTCTGGGTGGCTGCCTCCCACTTGGGGCCTAGAGCACCTGCCCGTGGCCGAAATCGAACCCGGGGCCCTTCATTCCTCCCGCCGAGGCTCTAACCACCGAGCCAGGCCAGCTAGGTGTGCGTGAGGCCTTTTGAGGAAAGAAATGACAAAGCAGATCGCATGTCAGCAGCAGCCGGCCGCCGGCGGGAAGGCTAATTTCTGCCGCCTCCCTCCAGTGTCGCTGGATTGTAAGCGGTGCCCGTCGGCGGCGATCACAGGCCTGGTGAGGAGGGGTGTGCCCGGGCTTCTCTGAGCAAATGGCAGCGCGGGGAGTGTGGGGGAGCTAAGGCAGGGGGTGCCTGTGCCCACCGCCCCAAAAGGCGAAGGCAGCGAACCCGAAATGCTTGGGGGGGGTGACCTCCCCTGTCTCGGACACCACACGGGGCTGAAGGACAGGAGGCCCCAGGGGAACCCCGGGCAGTCCCAGGCCTCGGCCTCCGCCAGCTGGTCACCAGGATGGGAAGTGAAGGTCCAGGGCGCAGAGGCTGAGACACAGTGACCCCCCCACAGTGACACCGGGAGCCCGTCGCAGCGGCAGGAAGCAGGAAAGGCGGGGACGGCCTGGCCAGGCTCTGCCCCTCGGATCAACCGCGAGCAGC